TCTTCAACTCGTCGTCATTTCCGGGCGGCAGGTGCAGCAGACCTTCACCGGGGCCGCGCCATCCCCGCGCCGCTAGTGATATTGGCGCGGCCGGGCGGCGGCGAGTGCCGGCGCCTACCCTTGTGCCCTTCCATCTCTCCTCTGTCGGGACGACCACTCTCCTCTGTCGGGACGACCAGCACCGCCGCTGAGCATCTGCGTTGCCCTGTGCCCACCCCCACCCCCACCCCGCCATCGCCACCACGCGCGCCGTGTGCGGGTGCCGTAGAGGGTGCCCGCAGCCCCCCGCGGTGTGTATGTGCACAGGACCACGTTCGCTCGCGGCGCGCGTCGCCATTGTGCTGCGCTGTCCATTATACGTGTGTGTGTGGCGAGACAGCACACGATGGCGCGGGACGGCGGCACGCATGTTCTACACTTAAATTCACCCCACCCGAAAAACAACGAGAGACGGAGAGTGGAGAGAGCTCGGAGGGCCCGCGTTCGTTTTGCTTTTCCTTTTGGTCGGCACACACAGGACACACGACACAGCAGAGAATTTAATTTTATTGCACTCTTGCGCGACTTCTTACGCAGGGGCTGGGGCTGGGGCGCGCTGGAACCACTCCAAACTCTTTCCCAAAGGAGCTAGCCAGCCGCGGGGGGGGGGGGGGGGGTATCGGACCCCAGGGGGGGGGACTTCGGCCCCCTCCGAAAACACGACAAATCCCGGGGACCCGCGGGCCGCGCACCGAGCCCCTCGATACTTCGGGCGGGCAGAAGCCACCCCCTGGGCGTCGCTCGCGCGCAATGCAGGAGGGTGCCAATGCAAGCGAGATTGACTGCAAGCGAGACCCCCGCGAAAATGCTGACCCCCGCGAAGTCGTCTTCGGGAACGAAAACTTGCTGGGGCAAATCCCCGTGCATTTAATAAAAAACAGGGGCCGCGTTGTGGCTGCGGCACAAACAAACAGCGGGGGCACCGTCGGGCGTGCGATGCTTGGCCGTTGGGCGGCAGCGGCGGCGAAAATCGGCGAGCGTGTGCTGGCGCCCGCTCCGTGGCGTCATGGGCAGGTAGCGGAGGATCACCCCCCCGAGGGAAGCACTGCGGGGCTCCATGGCTTGCACGCGCTGCTTGCCATGTGGAACAACCTTGAGTGGCGTGCAGCATGCTGCAGTCGGTGGCCGGAGTTTCCGCAAATATTCACCTTGCTGCTCGAGCCGTTTACGTCAGGCGAATTTCGCGCGACACTCGGGCTGCTCAACATTACACTCGGACCCGCCATCCACTTCCGCTTGTCACCCTTTCGCGCCATGGTGCGCGAGTTCACCGAAACGGGCGTCGATGCCATGCAGACGCCCACAGAGGAGGCGCTGTTTGCCGCGGCTCTCAGGGTCTTCACGGGCTATGCCAGCAGACGGGGGAGTCCGGGTCGTACGGATTGGCACCGTACGGTCAAAAAAGGCATCCTCGGGCTGTGCCAGCTTGCCGTTGACGCGAGGCACACACCCACTCGGGCGTCGCTGGCGCTCGACGCGTTGGTGGCGCTGGTAAACTCCTCGGAAGGCTTGCCCCACGGAGGCCAATACATGGTCGAGCCGCTCTGCCGCGTGACGACTCGACTTGGCCGCGACGCGCTCGGGAGCCGTGCGCCCGCGCTCGAGTCGTGGTTTGTCACCACGTTGGGCAAGTTTTGCGAGTTCATCGAGGAGTACAAGCGTCAGTATGGCGGCGACCTGCTTGACGGAGACGACGAGCAGTGTGAGGACGTGCCAGACGCGAGGTGTATCGTCGCCACGCTCGAGCAAATGAACTCCGAGCACGCGGAAGCCGCCAGGTCTATGTTTGCCGCGGCGTGCGCATGACGCATGACTCTACCATGCGCATGACTCTACCTGGGCCCTCTGAGAGTGTGGCGGCTGCGCCCAAGGCGAACCGAAAGTCTGAATAAACGAAAGATTAACTACCTCTGTAGCGCACAGGCCGTGTTGCGCGTCGACGTCAACTTTCGCAGGACATGCTGGCCACCATCGTTGTTCGTGCTCTCTCATCGTGGCCGTCGCGGTGATCGGTGTCTTGTCTCGTCACGCTCGTGTGCTGAAAAATGTGAAAAAAGGTGTGGGGGGGGGGGGGTTGACGTTTGTGATTATGTGTGGTCTGTGGAGATTGCGGCGGCGGGGGGGGGGGAAGGGCAAGTTGCTTACCCACGTGCGCACTGGGCCTCAGTGCCTCAGTAAACCCACGAGAGACCGACGCGACCAAATACCAACGGTCGCCTCTCGCGCCGCCCCGTTGCACAGAGATGACCCCCCTACGACAGCGCCTCTCGAGCCGCGGCCGCCAAGCCCCTCACGGTGTGCATGGCTCGCTCCACCCGCCACGCGTCGTCCGCCTTGACCGGCTTCGCGCCGCGCACAGCCGTCCGTAGCGAGTCGCGCCGCACGGGGGTCTGTCCATAGAGCCCGCCATCCGGCGCTCCACCGCTGTTGCCGCCGCCGACAGACACCGACGACGCCGAGCTCCTGGCGCGCTTTGCGGCAGGCTGCAGTGCAACAGCGCCGCCACCGCCCTGTCCATCGCCCTCCTCCTCGCTGGCGCTCCAGATGCCGGCGCCACTGTCGCTCTCCACCTCTCCCGCCCCTCCGCCACCGAGCGATCCGTCCCCGCCCGCGCCCGTGCCGTCCCCTCCCGCGCCGAGGACGCCGCCAAAGGCGCGGCCACCCTCGACCGCGAAAGCCCCGTCGGCGGCGGAGAAGGCGGCGTCCTCCTCGTCCTCGTCCTCGAGGTCCGCCCCGTCCTCGTCCATCGCCACGTCGGTGCCGCTCTCGTTGCCGTCGCCGTTCGACGCCTCCCCGCCCCCGTCGAGCGCGTCGAAGAGAGCGCCTCCGTCGTCGTCGTCCTCCGCAGCTCCGGGCGCGCTCTTCGATGGCACCGTGGGCGAGAAGGAAGAGGGCTTGGGCGGCAGGCTGCTGCGAGCGGCGCCGCTCTCGCCGCCGCCACCGCCACCATCGCCCGCGTCCTCGCCGCCGCCACCACCGGCGACAATCCCGCCGCTGGCAGGGTCGGCGCTGCCATCACCGGCGGCGGCAGCGGAATCGGCGGCGACGTCAACGTGCGTTTCGCGACTGCCAGCTTGCTCGGCGAACTTGAGCGAGAACTCAATCTTGCCAGAGGTGCCTGCGTCCCAGCCGACGATCTTGGTGTCGTCTGACACTTGCCGCAGGGCGTAGTAGGCCTCCTTGGAGGCGCGCCTTGCGATCTTGAGCTTCTCGGGCGCGAGGTCGCGCGGGTCCGAAGACACGAGCTCGGCCGCCGTCAGCGTGCGCTTTAGCACCATCTTCCGCAGCTCGTCGTTCTTGCCAATGTTGACCAAGAGCGAGCGCGCCTTGGATGCGTAGTCCTTGGGCGCGCGCGCTGTCGCCGCGGCGAGCGCGCGCTCCACCTCCGCGGCCACAACGGGCGCGTGCGACACGAGTGACGGGTCCGTTAGGTGCTGCCGGAGCGAGCTGGTGAGCTTCTCGGTGAAGCGGTCGCGGGCCGTGGGCGTGAGCGCCGCGCCAGTGCCGGGCGAGGCCGCGCCAGATGCCGCTGGCGGGAGATTCGCCGGCACCTTCACCGGGGGCGGCAGGTATTCAGCATCAGCATCCGACATCTTCCCTGTGTGGACGAGGGCAGTTGCAGCGCGTGCAGCCACCAACTAGAATGCGGCCGCCATCGAGCCTCCCACAGGTCCCTCCCCGGGGGGGGGGGGGGGGTACCCGGTACACCCTTGACCCGCTGGCTTGGGTGCTCTTAAAGGCCGGTGTATCGCGCGCCTTGCGGGGCCGGGGGGGGCGGGGGGCGCGGCGGCTAAATTATTTTCTTGCGACGTTTGCGCGCTTTGGCCTTTGGCCTTTGCGTTTGGCGGAGCTATAAGCCCTGTGTAGCTGTAGGTGGGTGTATGGGCTTCCAGTACAAGCTCAAGCAGTATCGGCTAGATCGGACGGCCTTCCGCTTCCCGAAAACGTGCGCTTTTGGACTATGTGTGGCCTCTTGCTCTTCGGTCAAGCACGACTGAGCCTGGGGGGAGGACCGCGCAGAGAGAGTTGGAAATGGTTTTTCATGTGTGCACCGCCCATGAGACCGCATGACGTACTCTCTCACTTCCCGCCCACTTCCAGCAGCACGCTCTCGCTTCGACCTTCGTCACACACGTCATCTAACCGACCCTGTCGCGGCGGCCGCCCTCGCGGCCTCCATCACGGCGCAAAAGTCGGCGTCGCCCAAGCTGGGCACCGCCGCGTCGGCCGCGGCGAACAGGCCGGTGGCCGAGGCCGAGACGGGAAGGTCGGACGCCTCTGCGAGATTCAGCGCGAATCGCATGTCCTTCAGGGCGTGCTTGAGCGGGAACGCGGTCGGGTACTCCCGCTTTGCCATCATTGGTCCTGCGCGCACACGACACGTCGCACGGGCGTGAGAGAGCCCGGCGGACGGGGCCTCTTCCCTGCCAAGGCCGGGGGGTCCCTCACCCTTGAGCGCGACCATCGGGGAGGCCATCGCGCCGCCGTCGAGGACCGCCTGCCACGCGAACGCGGCGCACGAGAGCTCAGCGTGTGGCCAGAGTGCTGTGCACGCCGAGGCGTGCGGGTGGGGCGCTCGGAGAGGCTGTCGCCTGCACGTCCTCCGAGCTCAGCCCGAGCGCCGACGCGAGCGCTAGCCCTTCGGCGAGGGCGGCGAGCTGCGTTCCCATGACAAGGTTCACGACCAGCTTCATCTTCGAGGCCGCGCCGACCGTCGTGCCGCAAAATACGGTAAACTTGCCCATTGCCGCCAGCTCCGCCTCTGCCGACCGAAAGGTCTCCTCGTCGCCCGCGCACATGAAGATGAGGGCGCCGTTGGCTGCTGGCGCCTTGCTTCCGCTGACGGGCGCCTCGACGAAGGAGCCGCCGCGTTCGTGCACCCGCTCGGCGAGCGCTGCCATGTCCTCGGGACGCAGCGTTGCACAGTCGATCAGCGCTTTCCCGTCAGAGACGCCCTCGAGTACGCCTCCTCGCATTGAGTAAACCTCCTCACAGGCATCTGGCGTGGAGAGCATCAGGTACGTGCGCGAGCACGCCTCGACCACGGCTGCAGGCGACTCGGCGACGGTGACAGCGCCAGGGTGCTCGGAAGCGAGCGCCGATGCCGCGGTGGCGCCTCGCGTCCACACGTGAAGCGGCTGGCCGCTACTCGCCAGCCGCCGCGCCATGCCTTGGCCCATGATGCCAAGACCGATGAAGCCCACCGGCTCAGCTGGCCGGAGGGCGAGGCAGAACAAGATCGCGTGCATGTGCACGCAAAATCGGCAAGCCGCCCGCCTCCCACCTGGGTTGCGAGTCTTCGTCTGCCTGGCGGACCGTGCCGGCGGGCGGGCGGCGAGGCGGGTGCTCCTCGAGAAAGAAAAAGGTCGTGGAGACTCCAAGTGCTCCAAGTGGGAAAAAGCCGCAAAAAGCCAGCGAGCCTCCCGTTACGCGATTGCTCGCGAAGCGCAGCATGATGCGTGGCCAGCGCGGGAGCAGGTCGGCGCCGACGCTGCCAGAACTAAGACGAGACCGCGACCGACGGCGGGCCGTGCTGGCGAGCATCCGCGCTGCTGACGACGTGCTCGAGACTGACCTTCAGAGCGACGAGATTCTCGCATGCTTTGAGGAGGCGCTCGGCGAACGGCAGCCAGAGATGGGAACGGATGCTGCAGCAGGGCGAGAGGCGAACGCCGAGCGAGAGTGCGGAGGCCGCACCGCGACTGGAGGCTGCAGAAACCGCTTCGTCGCTCGCGCGGGAGACGGCGCGTTTAGCCGCGAACGGGGCCATGCCAGACGTGTCGCCTGCGGCTGGGACGCCAGCCGAGACGGGTGCGGAGGCGGCGCCCGCGGTGGCGGCGCCCGAAAACGGGCGCTGAGAGCCTATTCACGGGAATTTTTTGCTTCGCTGCGCGGCCCCGCAATAGGTAGGTAGGTAGGTAGGTAGGGCGTTTTGGCGCGACTCAGTGGGAACAGACCCCCTATCTGGCTAGCGTAGGAGCCGGAACCCTGGCTGGGGTTTCGGGCTCCTCGGGTACCCTGTGGTAGGTTGCGTGGCTCGAAACCACGGCCGTCATCGGTGAGCAACGGCGGCATCCCGGAGGGATTCGACGACATGCGTCATGACTGATGTCGCGCCCGAAGAAGCTGCCTTATTCCGACTGCCTTAGACCGTCGCAACAGAGCTGCGGTTCAACCGGTTTCGCTCTGACCACCTCTGAGACTTCCTCTGAGAGCTCTGTGTGCTGACGACAAGAGATACGGAGCAGAGTGGGATCTCATTAGGATCGTTGTGGCAGCAGAAAGTAACGCCAAACGCGCAGAAAAGTTCGACGTTCGAAGGCCCAGCCTCGATTGAGGCGAACTCCTGAGGTTTCGGCCTTACTCGCAACCCCTCTCTGGACACCAATACCGACGTCACACTGTTCTCATCCATCTCGCCCTTGGGGACGGCGAGATGTTCTTGCCGTGCATTGACTAGACCATCGTACGCGCCTGCTTACTGTCCCAAGAGAGCAATACGGGTCGGTTGCCGTCGATTGGCGGCACGGAGGGGTCGGCTTCATGGTGCCTCGACGACCAAGGCGCGTGGACACGTCCAAGTCGGTTTCGCGGAGGGATTACACCGAGGTCTCTGCGCGTGGGTGGTCGGGCGCCAGGCGCCCAGTCGATTGCCGCATAGTTCGTCGATGTAACCCTATCATAAACCTCTTATTCACCACTTTGAAAAAAGAAATTTCCGACTTTTGTCGAAGAAGCGGAGGGTAATCGGAGCATCACCCGCTCTGACCTCTGAGACTTCCTCTGAGCTCTGTGTGCTGCCTCGACCACGCCGCCGACCCGTCGACAAGCACACGCGGACTGCCATCGAGAAGAAGGAGAAGGATGGCGGGGCGCATCCGGAGCCCGCAGGCGCGGCGTGGGCGGGCGCGGGCGCGCGGGCGGACGCGCGGGACCCCGCCAGCGGAGGCGGCAATGCCTCTGGCGGCTCTGCAGGCGGCGCGCGGCGCGCCCCTCGCCGGTCTCCCGCACGATCCTGAGGGCTGAGACGTGAGAGGGTCGAGAGGCGGGTCGGTGACCCGGGGGCATGGGCGGTGCGGCCCCCGCGCCGCGTGCGGGCGCGTGGCAGCCCGTGAGTGCCGAGATCGGGTCCGTAGGGTACTTCGACGTAGTATGGGGGCCCCCGGGGGCCCATCTACAGCAGCGGCGAAGTGAGCGTGTTTGTGGTGTTGGTGGGGGTACTGGCCAACCCCTGCCTACGGGGTGCGGACCCTGAGTTGAACAGGGGTTGTGCGCCAAGCCCTCCTGCTCGGCTCCAGCGAGTAGACAAGTGTTACCATCAACAGAGGAGAAGGATATGACCTCAGGGCTGATGTGACCAAGCGCTGGTAGCGTGGTTTTACCTCACACCCATGGTCTCACAGTGTGCCGGCAGTCGCCGAGCAGTGTCGCTCACACAAGCCGCAGCACGAGTGACTGAGGGCCAGTGAGGGCGAGCCCATCGCTGTCACAGCTGTGGCAGCCGCACAGTAGGCTGTGCCAACTGTGCAGAGCGTATGAGCAGCAGAGGAGCTGCTCTCCAGGCTTCAGGCGCAAAGAGCTGCATGCCACCGAAAGCGCTGTCGAGGTTCGCCGAGCGCGGCGAAATCGGGGGACGCCGTCACCGACGAGCGCGTTGGAGTATTCACTCCGGACAAAGACGGCCACACGCACACGAGCTGCGGTCGTGTGGCCGTCATAGCGGCGAGGCGCGGGACCGTCTGTGGCGAAGTGGGTCGCGTCCCCCGATTTCCTCAACTCAGGGTCCGCTCCCTCTAGACGAGTACAGCTAAAGAGTACCCGGGGCTCCCCATGCGGGCTCCGTGTGGGGGCCCGTGAACATCTTCAGCTTGTGAGCCAGGAAAAGGGTTGCACAGATACATACGTCGGTGGGAGTGCCCCCCGCCCCCACTTGCCCTGACTGCACAGGATTGCGTGCCCCGAAGACGGCGACACATAGCGGGGGACACCACGCAAGGAGAGGGTGCGAAGGCTCGTTTGCAAGCTTCGCACGAAAGCTCTAACTAAACGCCCGGCAGCCATCACGTTCTCAGGTCGTCGTCCCACACGTAGGACGGGCTAGCTATGCTTGCGGTAATCGTCTCCTCGCGGCGCGCCCGGCGCGCCCGCTGCGCGTCGGCGACCGCACTTCTGGCGAGGATGGCGGCGGCGACGAGGGCGACAGCGCCGACGATGGCGCCAACAACAGTGGCTATCGAGAATGTGTCGTCTTTCTCATCCGTGCTCTGTCCATTCATGTCAGGTGGGGGCGCGGGCGGCGGGGAAAGCATCACCGAGGGTGATGTAGGCAACGTAGTGACAACCACCACAACTGTTGAGGGAAGTACCCCGAAGGCAACCTCCGCCTCAAGCTCCTCCGCCACGCGTTTGAGGAAGGCTGTCTTGTTTGCGGCGGCTGTGATGGCCTCTGCGGTCGGCCCATCTGCAGCATGCCTGACTGTCACCTGCACGATGGTCACCTGCAACTTGCTGTCGCCGAGATCCTCGAGGATCAGCTGCTCGGCCGTGATTATCACAGCTGGGTCACCGGAGGCAAAAGACTCAATCACTGCGAACTCGACCGTGTTGAAATCGACTGCGGTCAACGCGCGCCGGCGACGGGTCGACATGCCAACCTCTAGAGTAAACCTGGCGGCGAGAGCCATGAATTCTCCCGGCCGCAGTGGTGACGGCGACGCTGACGGTGGTGGCGGCGAGGGCGACGCCGACGGTGGTGGTGGCGATGGAGGAATCGACGGCGAGGGCAGCAGCGAGGGCCGCGGGTGGTGGTGGCCAGGAGGCGGCGAGAGCGGCGAGGGCGGAGGCGGCGAAGGGGGAGGCGAAGGCGGCGAGGTCGGCGGCGACGCCGGAGGCGGAGGGCTTGGCGACGGCGGCGGCAGCAAGGGTGATGGTGGCGGCGGCAGCGACGGCGGTGGTGGCGAGGGAGGAGGCGGCGACGGCGGCGGCGACGGCGGCGGCTGTGGCGACGGGGACAGCGAGGCCGATGGCGGCGGCGGCGAGGCTGAGGTGGACGGAGGCGGAGGCGACGGCGACGCTGGGGGCGATGGCGAGTCTCCAGAGCCGAAATCCCCGATGTCGTCGACACCGGAGCCAGAATCGACACCGGAGCCAAAATCCCCTCCTTCATCGGGGCCGGTCGGCGGCGGCGGCGAGGGCGAGGCTGAGGGTGGCGGCGGCGGCGAGGGAGAGGCGGAGGGCGGCGGCGGCGAGGGCGAGGCGGAGGGCGGCGGCGGCGAGTGCAAAGCTGATGGCGGCGGCGGCGAGGGCGAAGCAGACGGCGGCGGCGGTGAGGGCGCAGCAGACGGTGGCGGCGGCGAGGGAGAGGCGGAGGGTGGCGGCGACGGGGAGGGCGAGGCAGAGGGTGACAGCGCCGGCGAGGCGGAGGGCGGCGGCGAGGGCGAAGCTGACGGCGGCGGCGGTGAGGGCGAAGCAGACAGCGGTGGCGGCGAGGGCGAAGCAGACGGCGGCGGCGGCGAGGGCGAAGCAGACGGCGGCGGCGGCGAGGGCGAAGCAGACGGCGGCGGCGGTGAGGGCGAAGCAGACGGCGGCGGCGGCGAGGGCGGAGCAGACGGCGGTGGCGGCGAGGGAGAGGCGGAAGGCGGCGGCGGCGAGTGCGAAGCTGACGGCGGCGGCGGCGAGGGCGAAGCAGACGGCGGTGGCGGCGAGGGAGAGGCGGAGGGTGGCGGCGGCGGAGAGGGCGAGGCAGAGGGTGACAGCGCCGGCGAGGCGGAGGGCGGCGGCGAGGGCGAAGCTGACGGCGGCGGCGGCGAGGGCGAAGCAGACAGCGGCGGCGGCGAGGGCGAAGCAGACGGCGGCGGCGGCGAGGGCGAAGCAGACGGCGGCGGCGGCGAGGGCGAAGCAGACGGCGGCGGCGGTGAGGGCGAAGCAGACGGCGGTGGCGGCGAGGGAGAGGCGGAAGGCTGCGGCGGCGAGGGCGAAGCTGACGGCGGCGGCGGCGAGGGCGAGAGCGAGGCGGGCGGCGGCGGCGAGGGCGAGAGCGAGGCGGGCGGCGGCGGCAAGGGCGAGGGCGAGGCGGGTGGCGGCGGCAAGGGCGAGGCGGGCGGTGGCGGCGAGGGCAAAGCCGACGGCGGCGAAGGCGATGGCGAGGCGGGCGGCGGCGGCGAGGGCAAAGCTGTCGGTGGCGGCGAGGGCAAAGCTGTCGGCGGTCGTGGCGAGGGCAAGGAGGAGGGTGGCGGCGGCGAGGCGGAAGGAGGCGGCGGCGAGGGCGACGCGGACGGAGGCGGTGGGCTTGGGACTGACCTTGGGAGTGGTGGAATGCTTGGTGAGTACAGCTGGCCTGGAGACGGTGGCGGATGCAGCAGTGAAGGCGACGGGGGCGGCAGCGAGAGCAGCGGTGTTGGTGGTGGCAGGGTCGGCGGCGGCGGTGGAGACGGACGCGGTGGAGAAAGCGGTGGCGGTGGTGAGGGTAGCGGTGGGAATCGAGGTGGAGGAGAGAGCGGTAACGGTGATGGCGGTGGCTGCGAAGGCGGCGGCGAATCAGGCGGCGGCGAATCTGGTGGCGGAAATGCCGGCGGCGGATGGAACAGCGGCGGCTGTTCGGGTGGCAACGGCGGTGACGGCGGCAGTAGAGGCGGCGGCGGCGCCGACGGTGGCTTGAACCGCGGGCCGCAATCGCTACAGTCCATACCGCTAGAGCAGTCCGAGTATTGGCTTTCGGGCCCGCCATCGTCGCAGGATCCATCGTTTGCCCACGGACAGGTGTTGCCGCAAATGATCTCTGGCACTGGGAGCAGTGGCGGCGAGGGTGGTGCCAGCGGCGGCAGCGGTGGCATCGGGCAGGTGTCCCCCTTTGCGCACACTTTGTCGGAGTAGACGCACGGCGAGACCCCGTCGTGGGACTTCCAGCAGCTATCCTTCCGGCTGTTGAGATTGTCGCAGCCGCCCTCCCATTCCGACACATCCACGCAAGCACTCCCCCCTGCGGCGCAGCAGACGGGCGGTGGCGGCGGCAGGAGAGGCAACGGCGAGGGTGGTGGACTGCGTGGCATGGAAACCTCGCACCACTTAGAGCACCGCCAGCAACCGCATCCGACGCAGCAACCACCCCGCGTGTCACAACCCTGTTCGTTGTATGGCGTGCAGAATTGTGGCTCCCACTCCTCGGTCCCACAGCAGTTCTCTAACGAAGGCGGTGAAGGCGATGGCGGTGGCGGGTACCACGCGCCAACCCAGACCTCGAGCTGGTCGATCTGCCAGCTCGAGGCACCTCCGCCAGTGAAGTCGTCGGCGCACTCCGCCGAGCCGGCTGTTCCAGCGCGGCACTCGTATGCACTACCGAGGCTGCAGGAGCCGGTCCGCATGTTCGACGAGAGGGAGAAGTCGCCGTTGCCAAAGGTCGGGCCGTCGTAGTAGCGATGGTTGTAGATGGCGTAGCTCGGGTTCCGAATCGAGTGCTTGTGGTTCTTGGAGATCGAGAAGAGGAAGGCCGTGCTGCTGGATGAGTAGGCGCCGTAGTAGTTGCTTGTCCACGAAACGCTGCTGTAGCCGCCGGCGATGACGCCGTTGTCGTACCGCCAGATCGAGACCGAGGCCCCTCGCCCGTCGCAGCGGCTGTGGAAGGTGGAGGCGCTGAAGCCGTGGTCGGCCGTGGAGTAGCAGAGCGTCGCGAACTGCGCGTCTGCGCCCCAGGCGGCGATGACCTCGACGAATGGCGGGTACAGAGGCAGGGGCGGAGGCAGCGGTGGAGGGGGACGAGGAGGCGAAGGCGGTGACGGCGGAGGCGGAGGCGGGGACGGCGAGGGCGGAGGCGGAGGTGGCGGCGGATGCGGGGAGG